CATATTGCAAAAGACAAAATTCATCTACTGTTAAAGGCTTTCAAAGAGCGACTGACAAATTCATAACAGAAAGTGGAAAATGTAATCAAATATGTCGGTGCTAGATATGGCAAGAAATGTAAACATTTTTTTTCGATTTCTCTGAAACGGAGCAAAAACGAGCATATGTCTATAGGACTTTTTTTCTTAGTTTTTTACTCCTCTACACGCTCCCGAAGTTTTGCCATTTAATTTGGAAACACCCTGTATATATATTATTGTGATTTTCTTCTTTAGTCTGTTTTGTTTCTTGTGTATTATACTTACAACTTATATCGTTAATTCAAATATGTGGAGTCATATTATTCGTATTAAAAACATAATTTCTTTGTTATATTTATTACAGATTCATCGATAACGAAAGATAGCCCTGCGTTCTCGATGTTCAATGATTCGGAGGAGGAAGTAATATACGGATCGGACGAGGATAGTCGGCGACCGTTAACTCGCGCTCCACGAAACACAGAGGATAGTGACTGAGGGCCTTAAAAAAATTTCATATTTTCTGCTAATCATTATCGAAAGATAAATCGTTACATAAAAAAGTCAATGAGGAGACTTTCGATTTATATTTCTATTCTGATTCGTAGTCATACTGCCGTCATATTAAAAGTTGAAAAAAACAAACTAAAAAGTCATGTAAGTAATGTTGATAAATCAAATGTTAATTGTAAACAAAGACTTTGTGTCATGTTTATGCAGACTCTAAAGAAGAGATGCATATTGTACATAAACTGTGAGTATATACTAATGTGAATTTATTAAAGTTGAAAAGTAACGCGTTACACTTGTTTTATACCCAATAAAGGGGAATGGATACACATCACATTGAAATGGATTTAGATTTTCAGGAATACGCATTTGCGAACGTTGAAATGAATCCTTTTCAATCCCAATGCATTTTTATTCATTTATAGGAATTGCATAAAAGCATTTCTATGCCTTTCAATTTAAAAAAACTTCAGTTCTATAAATGCATTGTGAATAATAGTGCTCAATTCAAAATTCTGAATACAAAATGCAGTACTCCAATCCAACTGAATAAAAAAAGTGAAAATGGACTATTTTCGTTTACTAAGTACTTTCTTGGTAACGATCGTTGCTTTTTTCTGTCTGTAACAGTAACGATAATGTCGTTATATTTTTACAGTAACGCTAAATTTATGAAGTAAACTGTTACTTTTATTGCTACTTTAATGCCTTATTATTTTTATAACTATTCAATTGATTGCATTATTTTTATATATAATTGAAATTAAAAATATTTTATAATAGAAATTCAAATATTAAAAAAGTTTTATACATCGCATCTTAGACATTTCGATAGTCACTGTCAATATTGAAAATCTACAGTATACAGGAAATGTGAACTATAAATTTTCAGTATTAGTATAATGAATATTGGAATGTATTCTTAATAACGACATTGATGTTTAAAAGCTATGTTTAATAGCAATTTTTAATAAAATCATTGTTTATAAATTAGAATCCAATTTCCTCAAAATAAGCGTGTATTAAGAAATAATAATGTGTGTTAATAAATATATATATATATAAAATTATTGAAGATTTATTAGATATAAATTTAATGAAAAGGAAAGCTTACTATAAGACTAGTTTAAATTTTTTATTTTAATATTAACTTTCACGATTAGTATTGATTATTAAATAATGTAATTTTTAAATTTAATACTTTAACGTACATTACAATACAGTAAAGAAAAAGTAACGAATCGTTATTTTCTAAGTAACGGTAACACGTTACTTTTTAAAATTAGTAATGAATTACTTATGAACGGTAATCAATTACAACGGTAATTAATTTTTACAGAAAGTAACAGTAATGGTAACGCGTTATTTTTATGAAATAACTCCTGGAATTTATGTATCGCATTATGCAAAAAGTAACGTAAGAATCGATTGAATGAGGAACACACGGATGGAATGATAGGAGTAAGAAAAATAGGAAAAAGAAGAAATTTTACAAATTTATAAAATGTTAAATGTTGAAGAAAAATGTAAGATTAAATTTTTATTGATTTGTTTGATTTATACTTTTATGGCAAAATTAAGTGAGACAAAATTTTACAAATGAATAAGATACCTAAATATGACAAAATTTGATATTTCGTGATATTAAATTTTATATATTAGTTCATTTATAACTTTAAAACTGTACAGAAGTCATTCGCGGGTTATTTTTGTGTCCATTTTTGTCGAACTGAGTGAGCATTTCATGTATAACTTATTTGTTGTGCTTGTTTTGCGGTAAAGCTGGTTTTAGGAGTTTTGTCTGTAAATATTCTTTGTCAGAGATGGTAAATACTTTATGCACAAATTGATTGTTAACTGTTTTTATATTGGATAATATGGTGTGGCTCAGCAAAAATGTAGATACCTTTACAGCATTGCAGCATATTACAATGTTTCTCTAAATATTGCAACAATATCACAGAATATTGCAGCAATATTTTATTTTAGCGGATATAAAAATATTGATACAATATTGCAGCAATGTTTTATAAAATATTACATTGAAAGATTACAATATTTTATAAAACATTGCTACAATATTGTATCAATATTTCTATGTCCGCTAAAATAAAATATTGCTGCAATATTTTGTGATATTGTTGCAATATTTAGAGAAACATTGTAAATATATTGTTGCAAAATTATGCAATATTTTAATCATTAATTCAGTTTTATCAATATTTTAATATCATGCTTAGCATCACATTTCAAGATACACACGATAAAGTTATGATAAAAAAAGATACTCGGAGGTCTAGAAAGCACATTCGAAAGAGCTTGGAAATTTCCAGACTTGCTAACTCATTTTGCATAGGCGTTCTTATAGACTGTTTATAGACTTCCTGGACGTTTTCTTTTTACGAGGAGCGCGTCCATCTTGTGGTGAAGTTACGTGTACTTACGTTGAATATAATATTGCAACAATATATTTCAATTTTTCCTAAGGTATTGTTGTTGACAAACAAACCAGGAAGGGGAATCTTCCATTTCTTTCTATATTTCTAGTAAAGAAGATATTGAGATACTGAGGAAAATTTTACTGAAAATGCTTTTGTTACGTCCAAACTCTGACTAGCTGTGTGGTTAAGTAGAGTGAGAAGAAATGTAAGGGAGAGAGAATGGAAGGACGTTGACAGATACCCTGTCTCGCAGGTGCACGCACAGAGGCGAGTCCTACGAATCGAACGCACCTCTTATCGTTCTGGAAAGTGTGTCAACGCCTTAAAAAAGGACACTATAACACCTCTTTCTATGAGCTGTGCAATCATCGGTCCTGCTTCTGGATCAAGGAACTTATCCTTTTGACCCGGAACAGGATCACGTGCGAACTCAAGTAGTGAGGGGGGGGGGGACTGAGATAAGAGGTATTTCAAATTTACTATTTATCAAAGATATATTCATTTAAAAGTAATAAATTTAGTTTAGTATCTGGAGACACAGTAGTGTCTCGGCGCTAAGACACGGCGCGAGACACTGCTGTGCCTCCTTTACGGGAGCCGGCGAGTTGCGCCGGATCGAGATTAGAGGATCTCAATAACGGCTGTCCCGATCGAGTTATAACTTAATCGATAGCTTACACTCCAATTGTGTAATTTTACATGAATCACAAAAAAAATTTGAACTAAAAGTTAAATCTTTCATAATATTCATCACGTTTATACATTATCAATAATTAATAAAATATAACGCAAGAGTAACTCACATTATGTATTGTAAGTTATTCCTGTGTAAAAAGATTGAAGACTTTTTCGCAAAATTCAATATCAAAAAATGCTACAGGTGATGATTGGCTTGGAAATGATAAACATTCTGTTATATTCGTATCTTTATGGATTGAAAGATCCAAATCATTATTTTCCACATTTCTGCGAAGAGGAAGATCTAAAATACTATCTGTCACATTTCTATGGAAAGAAAGAACCAAAATCTAATCTGTTAATGTTAAATATAAATCACGCGCAAGCGCACAGTAAACAAGCTTTCAGACAAGAACGGACAGATGTTGCAGACAATTTTGGTCATCTATGGCCCTTCCAGTATGTATGTTCTAAGGTTCAGTAAGCAACGCGGATTACATTGGTACAGACCTAGAGGTAAATATAAAAAAAGAAAGGTGTGCTTATATGAGAATGTGTCTGCGTGCGTGTGTGTCTTTAAAAAGATATTATATTTCTTTGCTGGGAGAAGGGGGAGGGATCGCAAGGTTATCTTACGAGGAAAGGGAGGTGAATGGAATAATCTCTCAGAAATATATATCTAACAGGGATAAAGAGTAGGAGGATGCCGGGAATATAAACGATTATATTTTCATTGTCAAGTATTTTCGTTGTCATGGATATAGAAGATGGATGATATAGGATTATATCTGAATAGGATTAGGTGTAGTAAAAAGAAATCCATTATTTTGCATGAAATTGAAGGCTTTATTTAGTATAGTTAGAATGATCCGATTTAGGTCAAATATGCACCGTTTTGTTCGATAATTTGTTGCCATTTTGAAGGTAATTTCATTATGCCTCTCTCATAGAAACCCTCGTCCCTATTGGCAAAAAACTGGGACAGTTGATTTTCACAAGCTTCTCTTGAGTCGAATTTTTCACCAGCAAAATCATTTGCCATAGACAGGAACAGGTGGTAATCACTTGGAGCCAGATCCGGACTATAAGGTGGATGCATAAGAACCTCCCAACCAAGCTCCCGGAGCTTCTGGAGAGTCACTATCGATGTGTGTGGCCTTGCGTTGTCCTGATGGAACACAATTCCTCTCCTATTGGCCAACGCTGGCCGCTTCTTGGCGATTGCTTCCTTCAGACGGTCCAATTGTTGACAGTACAGGTCCGAATTAAGAGTTTGGCCGTAGGGGAGCAGCTCATAGTGGATGATTTCCTGCCAATCCCACCAAACACACATCCCACCAAAACCTTCCTGGCCGTCAATTCTGGCTTGGCCACCGTTTGCGCCGGCTCACCGCGATTCGACCACGACCGTTTTCGCTTGACGATAGGATTACACCTATCATATAGTTCGGGAAAATCTTGGAATTAAGCGAGTTGGAAATCAAGGAGTTTTTAAAGGTCGTGGGAATTTTGGTATGGTGAGGGAGGGACCTCTGAGATGGTCGGAGGAGGAGGAAATTGGTCAGCGATCGAGGGAGAAGAATATCGGGTATCAAGAAATGATAATGGATCAGTAGAGAAGGAAATATTGACAAGTCTAACGGAACATTGTCATCAGGTACGTGAGATGGAGAATCTCGAAAATATATATTTAACGGGCATGGTAAAGGATAGGGGGATGCTGGGAATATAAACTATTATATTAGGTTGATGCAAAAAAATGTCGGTTCTATATTGCTATTAAGAGCAGTTTTACAGTATTAAAAATTTTTATGCATAATTACAATATTTTGTGTATAATAAAAGTATTATTACGAATATCGGCGAGCGAGAGACACCGGTGTATCTCACTTGTACTAATAACAAATGTTCGAGATAGCGAAAAGACACCGCGAGCCGGCATCACGTCCTTTCGTACAGGTAACGTTGTATGCGTACGTAAACG